CTGTGAAGCCCTATTCTTGATCTGCATCTTCTCCCGCAGTGAGGGCATCGGTTTCCAAGTGGAAGGCGGTCCCGGTCGGGGTTGGCTTGACATGCCTTCCTCTTGGCACATTTCTCTCTTTCATCCTCCATTCATGCCTCTTCAAATTCTACAGCACTGCTGGTCACAGCTGACCTCCAGTTAGAGTGCTCAAGGGCCAGGGCTTCCCAGTTCTCCATGTCTATAAAGTGAAGTGAAGTGTATGCCACAGTTTTTAAGGTTGGCTTTGAGCCCATCTTTAAATCTCTTTTCCTGCCCTCCAACATTCTGTTTTCCGTTCTTGAGTTCAGAGTAGAGCAACTGTTGGGAGACGGTGGTCAGGCATCCAGACAATGTGGCCGGTCCAGTGGAGTTGATGGCGGAGGACCATTGCTTCAATGGTGGTGGTCTTTGCTTCTTCCAGCACACTGATATTTGTCCACTTGTCTTCCCAAGAGATTTGCAGGAGTTTTTGGAGGCAACGCTGATGGAATCATTCCAGGGGTTGCATGTGACGTCTGTAGACTGTCCATGTCTCGCAGGCGTATAGCATGGTTGGGAGGACAATAGCTTTATAAACAAGCACCTTGGTATCCCCACAGATGTCCCAGTCCTCAAACACTCTCTGCTTCATTGGGGAAAATGCTGCACTCGCAGAGCTCAGGCGGTGTTGTATTTCACTGTCAGTGTTGACTTCTGTGGAGAGGTGACTGCCACGGTAGCTGAAATGGTCAATATTTTCTAATGTTACACCATTAAGCTGTATTTCTGGCATTGGAGAGGGATTGGCTGGTGACTGCTGGAAGAGCACTTTGGTTTTCTCGATGTTCAATGACAGGCCGAGCTTCTTGTATGCTTCTGAGAAGGTGTTTAGAGTGGCTTGTAGGTCTTCTTCTGAATGTACACAGGTGTCATCAGCATATTGGAGTTCTATAACAGATGTTGTTGTAACCTTGGTTTTGGATTCCCATTCTGGTGGGAAGCTTCCCATCAACAAGATGAAGTATCATAGTGATGAAGATGGAAAATAAGGTTGGGGCAATAACACATCCCTGTTTGACACCTGATTCCACCTTAAATGGGTCACTTTGGGAGCCATTGCTGTCGAAGACTGTTGCCATCATGCCATCATGGACAACACAATTACAGCACTACAATTCCTACACAGTTGCAAAAGATACTATCTTATCTCCCATGGTTCCATTCTGTAACATCCTGGGATCTGACATTTCATGTGATACTTATAATTACTTTTTCAAGGTCTCTTGTTCCTAAACAAAGTGCAAATCCCATGGTTCTTTGGGATGCAGCCCTCGCAATTAAAGTGTTATAAAAGTATTATGGTTGTGTAGTGTGAAAGAGATCTGAGTTGCTGCTTAAGTCAATAAAACATCATCTTTTAGAGAAAATGTGTCCTAGGGGTTCCATGCAACCTCCTGCTCTGCTGTAAGCAAGCTCAGACTCTGTTTCAATGTTTTTAGCTAATTTCTATGCAAAATATATATCCATACCCCTCACTGATGGAAAACATGCCTCAAAAGGCAAAAATATAATAATTTAAGTCACTTTGTCCTCCATTTCTTCATCAATTTATTTTTGAAACAAAACCAAGAAGAGGGTATTACTAAATGGTGGGCAATGTGCATGACTCCAAAGATGCTAACAAAAAAGATTTCATGAAATGTGGCATTACGTGTTAACTTACAATAACCAAAATAGTCAAACATTAACTTATTAAAATGTATGGAAAGAAAAACTTTACAATTTTCATATTAAACAAATGTAATGAGAACCAATGTTCTCAAAATAATAAATATGCATTATTATGGTTTCATGTATTAGCTGAGTATAGTAAAGGTAAAGGTTTCCCCAGTCCAATCATGTCCAACTCTGGGGGGTGGTGCTCATCTCCATTTCTAAGCCAAAGAGCCAGCATTGTCTGTAGATGCCTCCAAGGTCATGTGGCCAGCACGACTGCACGGAGCACTGTTACCGTCCCACTAGGTCAGTATCTATAGATCTACTCACACTTGCATGTTTTCAAACTGTTGGTTACCAGAAGCTGGGGCTAGTAGCAAGAGCTCACCCTGCTCCATGGATTCAAACCCCTGACCTTCCAATCAGCAAGTTCAACAGCTCAGCGGTTTAATCCACTGCACCACCAGTGGATTATACATTTTGATTATACATTTTTAAAAATTACAGATGAAAAATGAACATTTTTAAAAATTACAGATGAAAAATGAACTGTTAAAGATAAAGGATTATATAGTGGGCTCAACATTTTAGGCATGTTGTTCAAATTGATGTAATGGGAAAATTATGAACTAAAGATATAATGCTTATTCTGACTATTAACGTAACAAAATATTATATACATTCTATTATAGTTGTTATTTATAGATGTTATAGTTGTTATGTAAAGATGATATTTAACTCCCAATAGGTTGCCAGATGATCTATGAATGTATTGTTAAAGCATTGTCATAGTTGGCCCATATCGCCAAGTTAACATGGATCTGAAAGGATAAATCAATTGAAGATTCTCTGAAAAGCTGGAAGTGACTAATGGACTTTTTGAGCTATAAGAATGCCATAATTTCTGGTCACTGATATTAATAAACCTAATTGGATTTGTAATGGTAAAGTAATATTCTCCCCTTTTCTGATATTTTTCCTTAATAATCCATTACAATTTGGATTGTGGATTCAGTGTTAGTCATTATTTAGAGTTTAGTTTAATTTAATGTCTTAGTATTGGGTTTTAATCTGAGAGCAGTTAGTGTTTGATTATTTTTAATTGCAGTCATTTGTGTGTGTATGTATGTATGGTATATATTATTATATATATTCAATAATTCTCCCTTTTCTTTCTTTTACATTATTCCTTCTTCAATCTCTTTCATTGTGCTGTTTTGTATGATCGCATAATTTCTCTTTAACTTTTTATGTATAATTTAATAAACACTATAAAAAGACAATGGGCTGGTTCATAACTATTTGAACTCAGAACTTCCAGATAGAGAGGGCAATAAATGTAAGCAATAAACAGGTGAGTCAGGTTATCCCTGCCTATAACACACCTATAACACTTGCAATTTCCAACTCTTTCCTGCTTCAATGTTTAAAAAATGTACAGTGACTAATATATATTCCATGGACATCATGATACAACATTCTCATTGGTTTATCTTCAGTTTTATCACAGTGATTGGGTTGGGCACGTAGGTATAAAAATATAGTTTTTGTTCAGTTGTTCGAAGCCAAGGACTGTATAATACCTGTACTGTCATGATGAAATGGCTAATCCTTGCATTATTTTACATTTGGCTGGTCAGTGGACTGCAAAGGTAAGTATTTTTCTTGAGTTTTTCTTTAACTCTTAGAAGCTATTGAAGACACTTACATCACCATAGACAGTCATCAAGACCCCATATACCATTTAAATGCCCTGTAATGTTTTAGGGCAGGCTTGGATGACAAGCACTTCCTTGATCCATTTCAAACTGGCTTCGGAGCAGGTTAAAGAGTTAAGACGACTATGGTTGCTTTAGTGGATGATCATCTTTGTCTCAACAGTGACAAGGGGTGTGTGTCTCTGTTGGTGCTTCTAGACCACTCAGCAGCTTTTGATATCATCGACCATGATATCCTTCTGGAACACCTGGTGTTTTGTTTTTTTTTTGGGGGGGGGGGGTTGTCGTGTCAGGAGCTCCTGTTGTGAGAGAATTGGCCGTCTGCAAGGACGTTGCCCAGGGGACGCCAGGATGATTTGATGTTTTATCATCCTTGTGGGAGGCTTCTCTCATGTCCCCACATGAGGAGCTGGAGCTGATAGAGGGAGCTCATCCGCCTCTCCCCGGATTCGAACCTGCGACCTGTCGGTCTTCAATCCTGCAGGCACAGGGCTTTAACCCACTGCGCCACCGGGGGTTCCACACCTGGGGGTGTTGTACCATTATTTTTTTTGCTATTTTGTCATTTTGAGTGCATCAGTATTCCATATCTATTGTAATATGATGAAACACCTTTCAAAATGTTCGGAGAGACACTCAGCAGTAACATGATGCTATAGATGTATGTAACTACATTGTGCCCTGCTTCGAACCAAAAGAAGTGGGTAATTAATAAAAATTATTATTATTATTATTATTATTATTATTATTATTATTATGGTTCATGAACTGCTGTAATGCACAAGCAGAATCGTTACATCATATCCTGGAGTTGCTACCATAACAAGGAGTTGGTACCATAACAAGAATTTTCAAGATATGAGAAACCCATAAGGAGCATAACATATTGACCACTGTAATAATAATTCATATTTTTAAAATAAATCATCTTAGTTCATAATACAGCATAAATTATATGGGTTTTTCTTTCTTTCTGCAGAATTCCACTGAAAAGGCACAAATCTTTGCAAAAACCTTTGAGAAAACACAAACAACTGCCTCAGCCTTTGAAAAAATACAAACGAGATAGGATTTTATATGCCCAAGAGAACTCAGCTTTTCTGCAAATTAAAGAGCAGCTCAGCAGCTATTCATATGTAAGTTATGAGTTGAAATGGTATCATCATGGGTAGCAAAGAGATGGCAGCAGCAAATGACACAAACTTGGCACTAATAAAAATGTTCTTGAATGTGTTAAAAATAAATTTTGTGCCACAATTTTCAACAGAACATTTATAAATCCAGGGAAGATCTATGACAATTTACCTTAATTTATCAATTTCTATGAGCTACCAATTTAATTCTGTTTTGGACTTTTAAACTTTAGTCCAAATAGATACCCATAGTGTGTTATGTTTCTGTCTCTCTGTCAAGAGATACAAAGAGAAAGAGAGAACATAGAGAAGTGTGCTGTGATATACTCCACACGTGGTCATCAGATTCTGTTTACATGGATTTATTGAGCACTTTCCTGGTCAAACTAAATTTCTGGAGATAAATGGTTTTTTTCTCTCCCTTTCATCTTAGATGGAATATTTTGGAGAGATTTCTATTGGGACTCCTCCTCAGAATTTCACAGTGATTTTTGACACCGGTTCCTCCAACCTTTGTATACCGTCTCATTACTGTATCAGCAAAGCTTGTGGTATGAATTACTGTGGGACAGAGGAGGGAGGGAACAGAAGAAATAGGCTGTGTATTTTTGTTACATATAAAGAAATCAATTCACAAACTTTAAAGGCATAAATACTGGTGTTCACCTTGTTGAATGTATTTGTGGCTAAGGCAGCAACTGAGCTTGTTGAATCTAAAACACTTGCATAAATAAACTCACTTTAAAGAAGTGAGAAGAAGGGGTTATGCTGGCTAAGGATTCTGTTTGTTGTAGTCTAGAAGCACTGCTTTGAGTTCTTCTCTGTGGCAGCTGCTCTCCTGTGGTGAGACTTTCTTGTGGAGTTGTTCTCCATGAGGATTGGGCAAATTTTCTCATTCCTTCTACAGATCTTTGCCTGTTGCATGGCTGTTTTGCTATGCTTTGATTTCTACGGGGCACAAAGGACTCAGAACCTTATCACATTAGGGAATACTCATTTCAATCAGTATGCATTTCGTAGATTTTTATGACTGGATGTACATTGTTTTCAGATGGGATGCATACTGACCCCATCACACCCAATTACTATGATCCCTATCTTCAGAAAATACTGCGCTTTGACTCATCACACCACAGAAGGCTGGCTCCTACCAATCCATTCAAAACATTCCCTACATCATTCTATGACCATTTAAAAAGTATTGCTGCTGATGGGATGCATACAAATTTTCCTATCACACACAAAACCAGCGCTTCAGCAATGGAAGAATATGTAGTTGTTGTTTCTTTTAAAAAAAACACACACACACAATTAGAATTCTGCATTGTCGAAGGCTTTCATGGCTGGAATCACTAGGTTCTTGTGGGTTTTTTCGGCTCTATAGCCCGAAAAAACCCACAAGAACCTAATTAGAATTCTGTCTGCAAATAATCCATTTCTGCGAAGCTTTGCAGACAGATTCCAACAGAATACTGAGAGGATGGGGCAAACATCGTGTGATGGGACCTGTTCGAAATCATTCTTAAACAGCCTCAGAAACAGAGTATTTTATAATGTGATCAGGTCCTCAGACTGTAACAATTGCCATGAGAAAGATGTTACTAGTGGTCTACATAGGTGCATCTATACTGTTGAACTGACATAGTTTGACACCACTTTAACTGCCCTGGCTCAATGCTATGGAAACATGGGAATTGTCTTTGGCAGATAAGATGAAAGACCTTGTAAAACTACAGCTTCCATATAATTGAGCCATAGCCATTAAGGTGGTGTCAAACTGCATTATTTCTACAGGTTAGATGTACCCCTAGATCTGGTAATCAGGACAAAATAGCATATGATCACAGAATGTATCTCACTTCACAAGAAGTGTAATTAGAGATAAGGTTGAAGGGATTATTACTACCATACATAATACATAATACATAGATGGTAAATAAATAAATAAATAAATTCTCACTTTTTCAGGCTGTAATATTGTCCATCTACATGAGGGTCCATTTATAATAATAAATGATGGCAAAAGACTACATTCTGAAGCTATAATCACCATGCAAAATGAATGGAAGGGAGTTAATATGAAGGTGAATTTTCAATACAGAAAATGAATTTTTACTCAAAAGTCAGTCAGTCGATTTTTCAAATTGCAATTACCATATTTCTTAGATTCTGAGACTTCTATTGTAAAATGCACACTAATTTCAGTACCACCGTTAGAAAGAAGATTTATCATTTTAGAATCGAGGGCATGTGTGTGTGTTTATACACACACACACCATTGATTCTACAATGCAACCCATTTTTAGATATGTTTATATGGGAAAAAGCATGTCTTAGAATCGAAGAAATAGGGCAGTAAACTGCCATTATATCCCAACCATCTACTTAGGTCTCTGCATGCAAGCGTAAAGCCAAAGCTAAGAATCTAGCAGCCCTAAAAGTTACATATTCAACAAAGGACACCATTTTTCAGAGGTAACCGCAGCCCATCTTATCACTTGCATCTGCAACGGAGAGATATACCTCTAATATCAGTGTACATTCTAAAATATAATGGGATATATCTTCTAGAACTGAGAAATTACAAAAACAGGCTCTAATTTCCTTTGGAGACCCTGGATGCTCCTTGTTAAATCTGCCAAGCCCATGTAGAATTTTATTTATTTTATTTACAATGTTTACGCCCCACCCTTCTCAACCCCGGGGGGGGGGGGGGACTCAGATCGGCTAACATAGGCAGCAATTTGATGCCACAATATCAATAACAACAGTATAAAACCATAAATGCATAAAAGATTAAAAACAGTAACATTAGTTTTACAATCACATAATCACATAGCCACATAGCCATTTTCAATTATCATAACAGTCGTATGGTCCAGTTCCACGTTCAAAGTGCTACTGCACCCACTAGCCAAAGGCCTGGTTCCAAAACCATGATTTTAGTTTTTTCCTAAAGGAAAGGAGGGAGGACGCTGATCTAATCTTGCTGGGGAGTGAATTCCACAGGCGAGGGGTGACCACCAAGAAGGTTCTGTCTCTCGTCCCCACCAGATGTAGAAGGCAGTCTCATTTTAGTAGATGGTAAATCAATTAGTTATTTTGAAAAAATAAGGAAAGAGTGGGCAAAATGCATATATTGCAGCTGTTTGATAAGCTTCTTGCTGTATCAATTTGCTGTCTTTAAGACATGGTGGATTCTAGGCTTTCTCCATTTGCAATTCACACAAAGGATCCTGGTTGTTGTTTTGTTTTGTTTTTCTATAGATAAGCATTCCAAATTTCACCCTACAAAATCCAGCACCTACACTGAAATTGGAGAAAGGCTTTGCTTTGCATATGAATCTGGGAGAGTAATAGGATTTACTGGAACCGATCAAGTGACTGTGAGTGACTGCAAGTTGGTGGTTGAGGGGAGTTGTTTATGAGCTATTATACCCTATATGATAACATACTGTGGAATTGCTCTGGATAAGTGTTCTCTCTCTGAATCTCTATATCCTCCAGTACAGGAGGATGTAGAAGTAAACCCACATCGAGTAAACCCACACAACATATGTCTCACGGACCAGATGCAGCCTGCAAATGGTTTCCCTGTGACTGATCAGTGAGGGGAAATCCAGCCTTGGGAGTAGCGTGAGGTTGGCAAAGGCTCTGAACCTTCCTCAAGGGTTGCAAAGTAACTGGTCTGTTGCAAAACTACAGTATAAAAAGTGATGCATTTTTATTGCACATCTACTAGATAATAATGAATTGATTTCACTAACATATTTTATGATCTTTAGGTTAAGGGAAGCACTGTTTCCAACCAGCAGTTTTTGGAGATTGTCACAGAGACTGCTGACCCCTTTTGGAATGCAAGCTTTGACGGGATTGCTGGTCTGGCCTACCCATCTCTGGCACCTGATGGGATGACCCCAATGTTTGATAATATGATCGCTCAAAATGTGGTGGAGCTGCCAATATTCTCCTTCTACTTGAACAGGTATGGGCATTGGATGTCTAATGACAACCCCTGGCTCTTCTTGGGTTGAAATCAACATGGCTCTAAATTCCAGCAATTGGTGCAGCCAGAGCAGAATTAGAGTCAAAAATTATAGATGCACTCTGTGGCTCTGCTCCATTTGCAATGGTGGGGAGATTTTTTAATTTTTATGTATGTATGTATGTATGTATGTATGTATGTATGTATGTATTTATTTATTGTTGCATACAAGCATTCCTATTTCTCAGTTTGCACACACAGCTCTTCTGCCAGCTTTTTAGTTGAGAGAAAAACCAACAAAATATCAGTGCCCTAGAATGTCCAGTCTCGATAAAATAGTAAAGAGTAGAGACATCAGACTGGCAACAAAGATCCGCCTAGTCAAAGCCATAGTATTCCCTGTAGTAACCTACGGATGTGAGAGCTGGACCTTAGGGAAGGCTGAGCAAAGGAAGATCGATGCTTTTGAGCTGTGGTGTTGGAGGAAAGTTCTGAGAGTGCCTTGGACTGCGAGAAGATCCGACCAGTCCGTTCTCCAGGAATTAAAGCCCGACTGCTCATTGGAGGGAAGGATACTAGAGACAAAGTTGAAGTACTTTGGCCACATCATGAGGAGACAACAAAGCCTAGAGAAGACAATTATGCTGGGGAAAGTGGAAGGCAAAAGGAAGAGGGGCCGACCAAAGGCAAGATGGATGGATGGCATCCTTGAAGTGACTGGACTGACCTTGAAGGAGCTGGGGGTGGTGACGGCCGACAGGGAGCTCTGGCATGGGCTGGTCCATGAGGTCACAAAGAGTCGGAGACGATTGAACGAATGAACAACAACAACAGAATGGGGCATGGTTAGGGTCACCTGAATTGAGGGATTTGGAAACCTTCAGACCACTTGGAGAGAGGCACGTTCTCCAGCCTTGAGTCAGGGGATGCGGACAATAAAAATGTTTTTTCTCATTTGGAAATCCAATTTTTTAAAATAAAATTACACTGAAGAAAAAGACCACATTAAATTATATTTTGCTCCCATCCAGGAACCCAGATGATTACATAGGAGGTGAGCTGATTTTTGGTGGCTATGATCCCTCTTTTTTCATTGGAAATCTCAACTGGACTCCAGTCACTCAGAAAGGATTCTGGCAGATACAAATAGATAAGTAAGTGTGTAGGGGGGGGGGGGGGTATTGTCCAGAATGACAACAGAAATTAATTAATTACAATACTAATATTCCGGTGCTTCTGAAGAAATCTCAGGGCAGCATCTAAGTAAAATTATTTTAGTTTAAAACAATAAAGCAAAGCAATAAAAGCATTTTCAAAAGACTAAAATGTAGTACATGTTGAGCATTCTTTATTAAGAGTTCTGAACTCTGAAATCCTCTAAAGTCCAAAATTCTCCACATCAGTGGCTGAGGGTGCATCCAGACAGCATCTATTGTGCACACCTTCCTGTGTTTTCCTCTGGGGCATCCAGACAACGCGGAAAAATGAATGCTTTCGACACAAAGCAGGAAACCCCTGCTTTGTGCTGAGGCAATTTCTTTGCTGGAAAAACCTGGGTCTTTCAGAAGACCTGAGTCTTTCCAGGTGTGTGGGCTGTCTAGCATCTGTCTCAGGTTTCTTGGGCTCCTGGAGATAGCCACCACTCCCTCCCAAAACCCCTTTAAAAACCTTTAAAAAGGAAAATAACTCAGCCAACTGCCATTCCCCTTTGGCATGTACCAATGATGCACCATTAGAAGGGGGAAAATTGCTCCTCCTCCCCTTGTCCTGACACATCATTGGTACATGCCTGAAGAGCTCTGGAGAAGGGGGGAAATGGTGAGTTATTTTCCTTTTTAAAGGCTTTTTAAAAGGGTTTTCTTTTGTATCCTGATGCCCTGCTGGAAAGACTAGCAAGGGCACATGGACACCTCCCCCCTCCCATCCCAGAAAAGCAGACACTTTCTGCAAGGGTGTGTGGACTAGAACTTCGAAGCAATTGCATTTTTAAAACGAAATTGCTCCCAGATTAAAGGACTATGTGGAACCACCCTGAGATAGTTACCCCCTGTGTTTTCTGATGAGTCCATGTACAAAAACTTCGTTTCTTGTACAAAAGTATTAACAACAGTGTGCAAAAGTACAATGTGTACATGAGACTTAAATGAATTTCATGTTTAACCTTTGGTTTTCATCCCCAAGAGATCTCATTCTGTATATATATGTAAGTACAAATATTTCAAACTTTAAAAATATCTTAAATCCAAAATACTTTTGGTCCCAAGCTCTTTAGATATGGAATATTTGACATGTATTCCAAAATCTGTATAAAACAACAACAAAAAACCAAACAAATCCAAAACACTTCTGATTCTAAGCTTTTCAACCTGTATTCAACCTATAAACAATTTAGCAATGGAAAACCAATTGCTTTTCCCTAAGCAGCTTATCACAAGCAAGTTCTGGAAATGTCTCATATCTGAAGGCAAACACAAGGGCCATGGGCCGAATCCAGCCTACCAGGTCATTTAATAGGACCTGCAAGGCCTTCAGTGGCAGGGTAACAGTCTTACAATTACAAATGACCTTGGAAGGTAACCATAAGGTTGATGTGGCCCTCCGTGAAAATGACTTTGACGTTATCCTGCTGTTGCTCTTTAAGGTATGATACATTAAAAGTAAAAGTAAGAGAATTGTATTCCACTCAAGTCACTTGATGCTAGAGATACAGGAACACCATAAAATTTCCTTTTCTTTGATGCTTATTTCATCTTCTTCCCCATCAGTATCCAGGTGGGAGGGACAATTGCATTCTGTGCAGAAGGCTGCCAGGCTATTGTGGACACAGGGACTTCTTTCCTGGTTGGTCCATCTGAGGACATAACGCAATTGCATCACTCAATCAGTGCACAACTTGTAGAAGGAATGGTAAGACCCCCATTTTGGGATCTCTGCACAATTGCTAGATCTGGTGCCCAGTCACTTGGAACAACCCTTGTAGTCCTATCCCATCCTGTTGTCGTCCCCCCACCCCCTGCTCCCTATTATATCTTTTACTTTTGGCTGACCATAGGTTTTCTATCCTTTGTATTTATCATTTGGTTAGCCTGCTTGCTTTCACCATGTGTGTGTGTGAGCGTGTAAAATGCTGGGTTCCTGGATTTTAGTTGGAATACTGTTGAGAGACAAAATACACACAACACATGTATTTTTAAAAAATCCAAAGAGCAATTGTGTTCAATGAACAGCAACACCAGCAAGAAAGAGGTGCATTCTGAACACACAAAAAAGTAGGAATTTACTTATCCCTTTCTATAACAACTATTTTTCTATTCCAGTTTGTCCTTTTCAATCTGCTTTTCCTTTGTGTGGTTGTATGCATGTTGGAGGTGAAACTTAAATCAGCTTTCCTTACGTCTCTCAGGACAATTCACAGGGATGTGTATATAGTTGTGTGCATTTCCTTTCTCAAATACATGGGTTAGCACATTTTGTTTTAACTTTGTATTTAGCCTACCTTAATACCTACGTACATCCATTGTTTCACACAGTATATTGTAGAATGCAGTAACCTCAATACGATACCAGATGTTACTTTCACAATCAATGGGATCCCCTACCCTCTTACTCCAGAGGCCTATACCCTTAAGGTAAGTCCTGTTTCTTGGTCTCATGCTTTTCATGGAGGTGGGTCATAGTTGGCAGTGTCTATTTTTAGCTCTGCATTCAAGGAGGAACCATAATAATTCTCCCTTATTAATGATCCCAGGATTGCATTGCATTCAATCAATCATGGCAATTAAAGTCGTGTCAAATTGCATTAATTCTGTAGTGTAGATGCACCCTAAAACAGCTTGGCTGGGGCTCTAGACTTTAGTACCCAAATCCACTTAGAACTGTATCACCATGAATGCAGAGCCCCCAGTGGCACAATGGGTTAAACCCTGGTGCTGGCAGGATTAAAGACTGACAGGTTGCAGGTTCGAATCCAGGGAGAGCGCAGATGAGCTCACTCTGTTAGCTCCAGCTCCCCATGCGGGGACATAAGAGAAGCCTCCCATAAGGATGGTAAAACATCAAAACATTCCCTGGGCAACGTCCTTACAGACAGCCAATTCTATCACACCAGAAGTGACTTGCAGTTTCTCAAGTCACTCCTCACATGAAAAAAAAAAACATGACTGCAAAAAAGAATTACAAGCAAAACTTGTAAAAAGCCTGTCTGCTTAACTGGAAGTAAGTGCCATTATAGGACTAAATACTCCAAAGGCACTAGGTCCTATCTGATCTTGGAAACAAAGCATGGTCATCACTAGTTTGAATGGGAGACCATCTATGAATACCAGTTCGTGTAGGATATATTTCAGAAGAGGCAACTGAAAAAATCATCTTGACAGGAATAGCCTCCTCTGGGTTTCTTCCCTGCCTCCCAAGCCCTCTCCTCTGCACTCCTGATGTAGCTTCCCTTTTTTACTTTGACTCTGCCTAAGATCACCATATTCATAGAATTATAGAATCACTGAGCTGGAAGAGATCTTGTGGGCCATCCAGTTCAATCCCAGCCAAGAAGCAGGAAAATCACATTCAAAGCACTCAAAGCATTCAAAGCATATGAAATGAATCTTAAATTTGGTGATGTGTTTTAGCCAAGAAAGGTACACATTACACTCACATAAATACAATATATTTTACTGGCTTCACTGAAGAAAATTATGGTTGGAGGTCAGTCTAAATGTCTGTAATCAAATTCCCAGGACTACACCTTTTTCATCATTTATGAGAATTATGTACCTGTTAGAAAGCTAATGTAGTGTAATGGTTTGGATGTTAGACCAGGACTGGAGACCCCATTCGTTTGTCTGCTCAACCACGGAAACCCAATGGGTGACCTTGGACAAGCTGCACTTTCAACCTCAGAAGAAGGCAAAAACAAACCTCTTCTGAATAAATCTTGCCAAGAAAGCTCCGTGATAAGTGTGTTTGGACCACCAGAAACAACTTAACACACATAGCAACAACAGTTATCTGTTAACATGCTTTAAGCTACTTCTCAATAAAACAATAGTGACAGAATAAGAAAGTAAAAGTTCTGGGCACCATGTGGCCATGAAACTGGTGTATTCTGAGAATTACACAAGTCAACAAAATCTAACTTTTTGTAATCATCAGAAATGAGAGTAGCACAGTTAAAATCAAGTTTTATGATTTTAAATATGTCTTTTATTCATCACGTCAACTTTTTAAAACATGACAAATGGCACATTTCAGAAGACTTCTGTAAAGTCTGCGCATTTCACATCATATTCGTGTAACACAAGCCCAACAAGTATTTTTCATCAGATATAATTTTTAGTCATTCTTATAGAGGTTTTTGCATTGAATTCAGATCTATGTTCATTTTTTCTCTATTGCATGTAGTTTTTGCAACGAGGCTAATCAAATTATTAATGCATGTATGCACTAATATCAATAGAATCTAATTAACCACAAACCAACAAGTATTTTTCACCAGATATAATTTTATGTCATTCTTCCAGAGTTTTTTTGCACTGAGTTCAGATCTGTGTTTATTTTTTCTCTATCTCCTGTAGTTTTTGTGATTAGGTTAATCAAATAATATCAGTTAGATTCTATCAATATCAGTGCGTAAATGCATTAATTATTCAATTAGCCTCATTGCAAAAAATACACAAGACAGAGAAAAAATAAACACAGATCTGAATTCAGTGCAAAAAACTCTGTAGGGTTGACCTAAGATTATATCTGATGAAAAATACTTATTGGCTTGTGTTATAGTTAATTTCCCCCAAACTTTGGTGAAAATGCATACTTGAATGAGTACTTTATTTTCATGTAAGTCAGTATTATTTCTTTTAACATGTTTAATTCCTGTTTCCATTAGTTCAGTGACAACGAAACGCAGGTGTGCATAAGTGGCTTTTATGAACATGACGTGAAATCACCAAGTGGCTTATTATGGATCTTGGGGGATGTTTTTCTCAGATCATACTACTCTGTGTTTGACCGTGGGAATGACAGAGTTGGGTTTGCTCCGGTTGTTCTTTAAGGCACTTGGATTTATCAAAATTGAATCAGACTCTGAGAAGCTGAAGTAAAGCTGCACTCTCATCATATGGATCTGTGCCTCACTTTCCTTTATGATTGCAATGAATATAATTCTTTTCTTGTAAATATTAAAATATTTTGATTGCCTCTGGTTTTTTTGGATACATCCATTCTCAGTGCAGAGAGTCTTGGTGCATCTACACTGTAGAATAAATGCAATTTGACACCACTTTAACTGACATGGTTCAATGCAATAGGATCATGGGGACTGTACTTTGATGAGGCATCAGCACTCTTTGTCAATGAAGGCTATAGACTTTGTGAATCTACGGGCCCTTTCACAGCCCTATATCCCAGAATATCAAGGCAAAAAATCCCACATTGTCTGAGTGTGGACTCAGATAACTCAGTTCAAAGCAGATATTGTGGGATTGTCTCCCATCATATTCTGGGAAATAGGGCTGTGTGGAAGGCCCTACAATTTGCAGGATTCCATAGCATTGAGCCAAGACAGTTAAAGTGGTGTCAAACCTACAATGTAGATGCAACTTATGTCCTACAACATAGATGCAACTTATGTTGGACCTTTTTGTAAAGGTACTTTCTCTTTTGGTCCTTCCTTTAAAAAAATACATCTTTATTGAGCAATGACAACTTGTAAACCCAAATTGCTATATCACAATTACACACTGACCCAGAAGAGATTTTTCCTTTCTCATGTAACTAATTTAAGGCAGGGCTACACTTTAAGCAATGTCCAATCTAGATAAAATAGTGAAGAGTAGAGACATCAGAATGGCAACAAAGATCCGCCTAGTCAAAGCCATGGTATTCCCTGTAGTAACCTACGGATGTGAGAGCTGGACCTTAGGGAAGGCTGAGCGAAGGAAGATCGATGCTTTTGAGCTGTGGTGTTGGAGGAAAGTTCTGAGAGTGCCTTGGTCTGCGAGAAGATCCAACCAGTCCATCCTCCAGGAAATAAAGCCCGACTGCTCATTGGAGGGAAGGATACTAGAGACAAAGTTGAAGTACTTTGGCCACATCATGAGGAGATAGCAAAGCCTAGAGAAGACAATTATGCTGGGGCAAGTGGAAGGAAAAAGGAAGAGGGGCCGACCAAGGGCAAGATGGATGGATGGCATCCTTGAAGTGACTGGACTGACCTTGAGGGAGCTGGGGGTGGTAACGGCCGACGGGGAGCTCTGGCGTGGGCTGGTCCATGAGGTCACGAAGAGTCGGAGACGACTGAACGAATGAACAACAACACACTTTAATTGATTGAACTTCCTTTGTTGTTGAATGTTTCTGCATTGCTATTGTAATAGGATCACAGGCTGAATGCTATATTTTTCTATATATATTACAAATGTTAAGTCTCTGGAAGTTAGGTATTAGCAGCAAATCTGGAAATAATTTATGCATACTGATCAAGTAAATAAATGTGTATAGTTAAAATCGGTTGTTTGAAATTAAAAACATTGTTGTTGAAAAAATACTGTTCAGTCAATATGAATTAAAGATAAAGTATGGGGAATTCTACTTTAGAGAGGCAAAAAAATAAGGAACAAAAAGTGTATTGAATTGGTACAGTAGCCATTAATCATGTTCATTATATCTGCAAAATATGGCAGGGAGCTAGAGTAACAGTGGCCAATTGAAGATGTGTATTGGACTGGTGGCTTGTTGAAAGGCCAATAACATCTGATTAGCAATTGGATGATGAACCTTGAACAAATGGACTATTACAAAACTTGTGTAATTGGCCAAGACAAGGTAAAATCTCATTGGTGGTGATGTCAAATCTCCAGGTAGCCTAGCACTATATCCATTGGATAAAAAGAGTATAAATAGACAGAAGATACTTCAATTCATGGCTGGTACCTGCGAAGATGAGATACTGAAGGTATGAAGTGCATGAAATTGTATTTAGGTTTGAGATGCTATTCTAATATGTAATAGCTAAACAGATAAAGTTCAAATCTCAATGGGTCCTTCTACACAGCCCTATAATCCAGAATATCAAAGCAGATCATCTACAATATCTGCTTTGAACTGTGCTGCCCGAGTCCACACTGCCATATAATCCACTTCAATGTATATTTTATAAAGCTGTATGAAAGGGGCCTGTATCTCTGCCTAAGATGCCTTCCATATGTGTATTTCCATCACATATGTAAAATGAACATGTAAAGGAACTTTTTGATAGACATGTACCTGGACAAAGATGTATGTGTTTCTGTATTGTTAAGTGGAATTGATAAGATGTGTATTCTGCTAAATACTGTTAAATACTCTGTCTTAATAAATGTTAATAAAGATTTAATTGCAATTGAACATTATTGTTCTTTACAACATTTTCCAGTTAAATAGAGGGCTCTCTGGAAGAAGGAAGCTGCTGATACCTCTAAGAAAGAGAGAGGGGTGGAGAAGCATGCCTGTTTCAAGAGAATATTTGGGACATTAGCAGACCGCCCACATGAACTCCACCTGACATACTCATTTCTCTACTAAGGCTGAGTTTCAGATTTCACAGTACCATGAGATTTAGGTTATCAACCTTCTTCCAGTTGCCAACAGACACTTGCCTGCCTGCTAGCCAACAAAAGGAAAAGTATGGCTCCCTTGTGCACTAGATTTACATCTGGACCTCTTAATATATTTAGTAATGCTACAACGGGTTCCAGTGTGTCAGATTTGTAATTCTCTCTATGTCATGTTGGTAATTTAGTCAACATTATTTTAATATTGGCAGAAAAAAATACTAAGCATGAAAATATCTGCAGATGAAATCACAGTGGGTTTTGTAAGGATTCATGCATGAGAGAGATTTGAATCCATTACAGGGATGTCAGATTCCAGTGCTAAATTACCTGCAAAGAATCTTTCCTTGTTTGGGCTGAAGTTGTTTTTATAGCTTTATCTGGTCAAATTTGATTCCATTCTTTATCCACCACTTTTTTTCTTGTGTCAGGACTGACTTGAGAAATTGCAAGTCACTTCTGATGTGAGAGAATTGGCCGCCTGCACGGTCATTGCCCAAGGGATGCCTGGATGTTTTGATGTTTTACCATTCTTGTGGGAGGCTTCTCTCATGTCCCCACATGGAGAACTGGAGCTGACAGAGGGAGCTCATCCATGCTCCTTCCAGATATGAACCTCTGACCTGTCAGTCTTCAGCCCTGCCAACACAAGGGTTTAACCCATTGCGCCACTGGAGGCTCCACCACTGAGTGACCCAGATGCTGTTCCCATATAGCAAATAAATAAAATAAAGCTCTTGTGAAAGGAATTTCAATCCAGTATCTATACACATAAGTGCATTCCATACAAGGAACATAATTTGTGATTGAGGGCATCTATGCCTATACCTGTAGCTGCCTATGGTAAAGTCCTCCAATTATTCCAGCCTTTTGTTACTTCAGTATAAAAAGAATGGCCTAATAGCTGGCTACTGGAATGGAGTGATTGTACAGGGAGCAATGTCTACTCCAGAGAACAGTATTGACATTAAGTGGCGTGGCTTTCTCATGGTACCTTTATCTTCAATGTTAACACTCAGTTGGGTTGGGCTTTTGTTCAGTTATTGGAACTGAACTGCTTTTATTCAGTTGTTTGAAGTGCAAAAAAGCAGTAAGACCTATACTGCCAAGATGAAGCGGCTGGTCCTTATAACATGTTACATTTTGCTTGTCACTGGATTGCAAAGGTAAGTGACTTTCCTTGGCATATTTTTTGGACTGCATCAAAAGGGCTAGCTGTGGGACTCCTTCCCAAAGACCTTACGTATCACTTAAATAACTGGTTGAATATCTTATAATGTTTTCAGGTTCGCAAAATCTTATAATGCAATTTTGTCAAATGTGCCTCAAAGATCAAGATTTATTGAATTGCATTCTGTAAACAAAGAATGCCTCTACTGGAAGCCACATGGTGGGCTGAACAGATCATAGAATCATAGAGTTGGAAGAGACCTTGTGGGCCATCCAGTCCAACGCCCAGCCAAGAAGCAGGAAAATCACATTCAAAGCACCCCGACAGATGACCATCCAGATATTATATGAATGATGAATCACCAAAGATATTTTTCCCTTTAATGCACCATAATGAGAGAAATCCATTATATCATTATTTTGTGACAATAATAATGACTTTAAGAGAGAGAGAGGGAGAGGAGATAGGAAAATGACCTCCATGGATAATATTTTACAATATTTATTTATTTATTTAATTAATTAATTATCGTGTCATCCGGATGACACGATAAATAAATATTTTACAATGTAATGCATACTGTAGAGTTCTGAAGGTATAGGTAACAATTAAAGAGTATAAACTGCTGGCAATTCTAATAATACTTCTTACTTTAACATACAATATTCAGTTAGCATACTGTTTTGTTTCCTTCTCCCTAGAGTTCCTCTGAAAAGACACAAATCTTTGCGGAGTATTTTGAGGGAACGTGGTGAACTGTCTCAATTCTGGAAAAGTTACAAGGTGGACAACATCCAATACACCCAGGACTGCTCTGCTTTCCAGGAAATTAATGAGCCACTCCTCAACTATTTTGATGTAAGTTGTGAGTCAAACCAGGAAAGTAACTATAGGGAGCAAGTCACAGCAGCAACAAAGTAGATAAGCTTGGCATAAAATTGATGGATGAAGGACTTTGAACATGCCAAAGACAAACTATTTGCCACCATTTGCAACAAAGGATTTTGCATATCCAGCCATGGATTATTCTACTAGTGTATTCCCATTTTAATTAGTCATTTAGGCCTTGGGATCTAACACCTATGTGACCAATCAAAACAAATCACAAGCTAGCAACTTGTTGGGGCAGATAGAGGTGCACTAAACATTATTATTTCCTGGCATAAAAATTAAACTCAAGGTTATATATATGATATATGTATATATATGTGTGTGTGTGTGTGTGTGTGTGTGTGTGTATCCCAAGTCACCATCTCGGGATACAAGATGGTGACTTGTATCCCGTCACCATCTCGGGGTAGCTTATACATGGCACAAGGTGCCTTAAAACAAAACATAAAATGAAAACAATTTAAAAATACAGTTAAATAAAACATATAGGCATATAAACAACAACTAAGACTCAGTTAAAAACAGCATTCTTTACCAATGGGGTAAGCTACTATAAATGTGACCAGGCTGTAAATAGTCAAACTGTGAATGGGATAAGTACAAAGCTGTAACCGTGGGAAGAGGGCATGGGATTGAATAATAATTGCATAGGTCATCTATCTACTGAATGGACTGGTTGGTCCATCTAGCAGTTCATAGGTACATAATATCCATTTGAATCTGGCTAATTGAATTTGGCAAGATTTCCATTTATGTTTAAGAAGTCTTTCTTCTTTATCTGGTTGTGCTGTCAGAGTGGATGGGAGATAAATGGTGTTTTCTTTTTGTGTTAGGTGGAGTATTTTGGAGAGATCTCTATTGGCACTCCTCCTCAGAATTTCACAGTGCTTTTTGACACTGGTTCCTCCAACTTATGGGTACCATCGGTTTACTGTTCCAGCAAAGCTTGTGGTATGGATTATTGTGGACGGGAAGGAGAGACATGGGGTGTTTGTAAACCTTTGTTCTATATAAGTGTGTTATCTCTTTTAAAGTATTTGTGGCAAAGGAAATGATGGTGTTCCTTAGATGCAAAACATTTTGCATTGGGAACCCAATATAAAGTAAAACTTGGGAAAGTGACCATGCTGGCTAAGCACGCTAGGAGTTGAGGTCCAGAAAACCAAGCTCTGCTTTAAACTCTGCCCTGTGGCAGATGCTCCATGCAGTGATGCAGTCTTTTTGGAGTAATTTCCCATGAAGACTGGGTAATTTCCAGCATCTTTGTCTGATATATGGCAGTTTTCTGTGATTTGATTTCTGTTGTTATATATCAGAAGCAGAGTCGTTGTCAATGTCACATGAAGTGTATTTGAAATGTTGTTGCTTTAGTGTGTACTCTACTGTGTGAGGGACCTTCCAGACAGCCCTATATCCGAAAATATCAAGACAGAAAATCCCACATTATCTGATTGTGGACTCAGATAACCCAGTTCAAAGCCGATATTGTGAGATTTTCAGCCTTGATATTCTGAGATATAGGGCTGTGTGGAAGGGCCCTGAGTTATATTTTATTCCATTTGTGCAAGCTGGGTCAATTATCCTTTTCCCCAATTGTTGGAAGGTAATTCCTTTCTTTCTAGAAACTGTAGTGCAGAATATCGCTATTCTGGAGCAGAATAATTTTGCTGCTAATCTATATTTAAGCATGTAGTTATTTGAAGAGAAAATAAGAATAGCCAAGGAAATCCTGTATTTCTTCTCCTGTTTCACCACATGGGGGCAGATTTACAATCATAAATGAAACATCTATTCTCAAGGTAGATTCAGCATAAAAAATCAGAGGTTTTTCATCGTCAAAATTAATAAAATGGGATGGTTGGAATGAAATCTAGCAGTTTAATCCTGCATCTTTTTAAACTCAGAAATAAATTGCATTGTTATTAATAGGACTGATTCTCAATTAAAGGTGCACAGAACAGCTGTATAAGGCTATGTCAGGATGTCATTCATCAATTCACCAATCCATCATTTTATTTATGTCCCACCTTTCTCCTAGGCTGGAGCTCAAGGTGCATATAACAGAATACAATAATTCAAACTTTCTTTCAAATAAGTCCCACTAAAAATAAGCTAGAGCATATGTGTTTCATAAAAGTGCCCTGACTGACATTTCTCTCTCTCTATAAACTATAGTTGAGCACTCCAGATTTCACCCCACAGAATCCAGCACCTACAATGAAGTTGGAACATCTTTTTCCATTCGTTATGGAACCGGTAGCTTGACCGGAATAATTGGCATGGATTCAGTGACTGTAAGTGGCAGGCTCCAGCCCTACCATGAGATATGATGAATGTTCTGCTTCAGACAGAACATTTGGTATGATAAAAAGGCAGCATCGTGCTAATTATTTAATAAATTGTTGTATTTTAAGAACAGGATGGGTGCAGTATGCTTACAAGATTTTCTGCCTCGTTTGACAAAGGACCTTGGTTGGTTTTGGATATGATACACCTTGACCTTCACTGGGCGGTGCTAAGTGTAATAGATATGACAGGACAGTACAATAATGTATATATTTAAAATGCTATTTATGTTTTTTCCTTGATTGCTTACAATGTTTTATATTTATACATTTGATTGTTGTTTGATTTAGTATTGTATTTTTAACATGTTGGAAGCTGCTTTGGGTCCCCACTGTGAGAGAGAAATGGCATATAAATAAAGATTTATTATTATTATGACCAGAGTAGTTTAATGAAACCCAGGACCTCACTGGCTGAGCATTTTAAGGGCCCCTCTCTAAACTACAAACCCCACAATTCTGCAGGAATCAGCTATAGGATTTTAAGTGAGATGCAGACTCTTTGCCTACTCTTTCAGCTATAGTGTGATGACATCCTTTGTCTTGGCCCATCCCAGCTGTGGAAGACCCACATATGTTTTTAAAATAATATCTGCATCTTATGTATTTATTTATGTTATTTATATTCCATTCTTCTCACCCCGCAGGGGACTCAGGGTGGATTACAATGTACATATACATGGCAAACATTCAATGCCATAGAAACACAACATATATAGACAAACACACAGAGGCTATTTAACTTTCCAGCTTTCATGAGGGTATTCTGGCCACCAGGTGAGCTGTTGCTTCACCGTCCATTTGTGACACTGATGGAGTACTTTGCTTGCTTGCTTGCTGGAGATTTTATGGCTTCATAAATTAGTTAAATTGGCCTCCCTGCATAAGCGATATCTAAATTTCCTACTTGACAAATGCAACTGTCTTTCGGGCTGCAAAGGTCGACAGCAAGCTACACAATGGTTGGAAGCTCACTCTAACCTGGGCTGGCTTTGCACTCATGACCTTTCAGCCAGTAGTGATCTTAATGCAGCTGACTCTCAGCCAAAAATCCATCTTCAGTTCCCATAATGGGACTTTCCCTTTTTTCATACACCCTGCAGCAACCTGTACTCCCATTACTCACCCACCTTGCAAATTGTGTGGGTGTAAGAGAGGGAGTATCCCATGCCATTAGGGGAATCCCTCAATTTGGAGGAGAGATCTCACTAGAGGTAACTCTTAATTTATGGGTTAACTTCAGCGGATCACAGGCACTTACAATGATTGAAACCCCTGGTTCATCTGCCTGAATCATGTCTACTGTAACGAACCCCAGCTATTCAACACCAGAACAAAGGAGTTGAGACGGTGTGTTCATGATATACACTATCCTCCACACTTACTAAAAGATTATGGAATGCCATCCCTACAATCTCTTGTTTCCCTTTCTGTAAAACCCATTTCCTTTGGATTGCAAAATGTTTATTGTGCCACTATTGGTTTGAATAAGAGGAATTCTCTTTTTCAGGTTGAAGGAATCACTGTAACCAATCAGCAGTTTGCAGAGAGTGTTTCTGAGCCTGGAAACACCTTTCTGGATTCTGAATTTGATGGGATCCTTGGTTTGGCTTACCCATCTCTGGCAGTGGATGGAGTCACACCAGTCTTTGATAATATGATGGCCCAAAACCTGGTGGAATTACCTTTATTCTCTGTTTACTTAAGCAGGTATGAGCACTGGTTTCCTAATATACCCTTTCAAGGTTACTACTTGTCCTACCACCTCATCAGACAGCCGGCAGCAGAAAGAGGCAGCAGTCTGCTTCGCCGTGAGGTGTGGGGACTCTGGCGCTCCACACCTCGCATCGCCTGCAATGCCCACCTCACCAGGAGGGTAATTACATGGTGGAAAGCATGGAGCCCACGTGGTGCACGCAGCTCTCCCCCCCCCCCCAATAGATTGGGCAACATGGGAAATCTCCTATATTGCCAGGGTGACGGTGTCATGATGGTTCTGCCCCCCTACACCCCGAAGCCAGCACAACATTGTTTGATGGGAGCCAGCTGGCCTTGTAGATGACAGGGGCTAGATCAGCATTTGCTGCCAAATCTAGTCCCTTATGATGAGGCCGCAAATGGAATCCAATGAAAGCTAAGATTAAGGATGTCTTCACACGGGGCATTTTTGCCCAATTTTGCTGCTTTTAATCGCAGCAAGGATGGGGCCTGTTATGCAACCATCTCACAATGCATGGCAGGCTCCGCTCACATTCCACCCAAAGTGGAGAAGCGCCAAAAGGTGCTTTCTCAACCACTATCTGGAAGAAAGTGTAGTTTGGGTAGTTCTGACAGAAATACCCACACTTTCCTCCCCTTTTTGCCATGGTGATGGCAGAAAGAGTGGTGGGCCAACACATGTTGCCGTCCTGTCTGCCATCTGATCAGTGGAGGGAAAAGGTGCCAAAGCACACTCTCCCATCCCCTTCATGTGATGAAGGGAGGAGGGAGGGCACAGAGCACCACAAGCCACCCTGTGCACCTTCCCTTTCACCGGCAATTTCCAGTGCAATGGCATGGCCCAAAAGGGCTGTATGAAGAGGTCCTAAGATGAAACTCCACAATAAAAATCTAAAACATACATAATTTTACAGTATGGGGGGGGGGGGAGGGGGTAGGATGAGCTGTACTATTATCTCCATCTTTGCACCCATCCTTCCCCATGTGCAATATCCTCTTTGCACCTTTTCTCTCCTGCTATGTGAAAAAGCATCAATCTCAATCTATCATTGCTGAATAAAACTTCATAGTTAATGTTAGCCAGATGAAAGGGGATGGAGCCACCACAGTGCTGATGCATGGTACAAGAGGGAGGCATAAGTGATGGCAGCATGGGTCAAGTATGGTGAAAAGCACAATTACAAGCTCCAGCTATTCTACCACCTAAAGCAGCTGTCTTGCTTTGCCTAGTTCCCACTGTTGAGGACAACATTCCGCCATAAAAACCTGACAGACTGCATTCAGAGTGGGAAGAAACATACTTTTGAACTGGGAGGACAGAACGGGAAGTAGACTACATCCACAACCTGTAATGGAGGCAAGGGAAGGGATATGGCAATAGGAGAGCCAGGAGACCTGGGCTGAGGAGCTGGTGACCTTGCTTTAAAGCAGAGTGGGGAATATATTGCTCCTTCAAAAGTAGTTGATCATCTCTTCAACTCTCAACTCCCCAACTCTCTACAATCCCACACACTGTAACTGAGAACTGATTGGAGCTGCAATTCAACACCATCAGGAAAACTCCATGTTTCCCAGACTTGATTGAGAGGATGAGGGGCAATTAATGTTGTATTTCTAATTTAGCATTATGCTGAAGGAAATGCTCATATTAAATTATACTGCTTCTATCTCTACAGGAACCCAGATTCTTCCATAGGAGGGGAGTTGATTTTTGGTGGCTATGACCCTTCCCTTTTCAGTGGAAACCTCAACTGGATACCAGTCTCTAAAAAAGGATACTGGCAGATCCAACTGGATAAGTAAGTTGTGGGGGTTTACTGGGATTTCAATAGAGACAGTGATAGGAAGGCATGTGAAGAGAAAGCAATAAATCATCACTACAATAAATAAACTATTTTTTATAAATAATGAATACATAAATAATAAATAAACTCTTGTTGATAAACTCTACAAGTTAGCTGGCATTGCCCCCCCTCCCCCGATGTGCAACAGTAAGTTGCTGCTAACTGAGAGAAATAAGGTTGAACTCTGTGAAAGCCATCCACTGCATGGCTATCAGTCTCCTCCCAGTAGACTCAAATCAAGTAAAAACTTCATGAGAACCACCACTCCTCCGAATGTTCCCCCAGCAACAGCAAGAGTATCCCTCTGGGCAGCTAAACCAGGAAATCCCAATTAAATGGCCCCCCATAAGGGTCTTCCTCCAGGGGTAAACCAAGAATGGGCAACTTGGAAGTCACTGAACAGATTCAGAAGTGGAGTGGGCAGATCTAAAGACAACCTGGCAAAACGGCACTACCTAAAAGAACCCCCCACCTTGTGTGACTGTGGAGCCGAACAGACAACTTCACATCTGTATGCTTGTCCAAAATGCCCTGCTTCATGTACAGAGGAAGAATTGACTTGGCCACGGTAGTCCATGCGCTTGTCACATCCCGCATAGATTACTGCAACGCGCTCTACGTGGGGTTGCCCTTGAAGACTGCCCGGAAGCTTCAGATGGTCCAGCGCTCGGCAGCCAGGTTGCTAACGGGAGCGGCACTCAGGGAGCATACCACTCCTCTGCTGAGCCAGCTCCACTGGTTGCCAATCTGCTACCGGGCACAATTCAAGGTGCTGGCTTTAGCCTTTAAAGCCCTAAACGGTTCCGGCCCCACTTACCTCTCCGAACGCATCTCCACCTATGAACCGGCGAGGACGTTAAGATCGTCCGGGGAGGCCCTGCTCTCGGTCCCGCCAGCGTCACAAGCGCAGTTGGCGGGGACGAGAGACAGGGCCTTCTCGGTGGTGGCCCCTCGGCTATGGAATGCCCTACCCGCGGACATCAGGCAGGCCCCTTCGTTGCTGGCGTTTCGGAGGAGGGTCAAGACGTGGCTCTATGAACAGGCGTTCGGCTAACAATGCAATTGAACTCATGACGACGGTATAATTGAACAAGGAAACGGCAGAAGGATTATGAGAACGGGATCTGATTTCACTGAGGCGTTGATGATTATGTGTTTTGTTTGTCCGTGTACGATGTGTCTTAATTATTGTTTGTTATATGAATTATATTGTAAACCGCATTGAGTCGCCGAACAGGCTGATAAATGCGGTATAAAAAATGAAGCAAATAAATAAATAAATAAATAATTGTTGGAGGCTACAGACAATGCCATTGCTGTTGCCCATTTTTGGACAAAAGATATTTAGCCACTTGTGCTCCTTCTATTTTTACCAGTTTTACACTAATTTATGAAATATTTTTGATATGAAATAAATAAATAAACTGCAATAAATCTATCCGGCGTTGATCAAAACCAGATTACTGGAAATTGACGCATCCCTTTAATCCAGGACCTGGAAGGAAATAATGAGCTACTTGTAATGAATTCCTTTTTTCAAAAACAAGTCTTAAGATAATGATAAGTTAAACATAAAAGTAAGAGAATTGTCTTTCACTCAAGTCAGCTGATGCTTAAGATGAGATGAGATGTAATACTCATGGAGAAACAAGAGCCCCCTTGAAACTTTCTTTTCTGCAGTGTTTATTTAATCTTCTTTCCCTTCAGTATCCAGGTGGGAGGGACAATTGCATTTTGTGCAGAAGGCTGCCAGGCTATCGTGGACACGGGGACCTCTCTCATCACAGGTCCACCTGATGAGATAAAGAAAATGCAAAACTTAATTGGTGCACAACCTGTAGATGGAGAAGTAAGTTCCAATTTAGAACCCTTGAGCAACATATTAGCTAGGTGCTTAAACTGATGCCCAGTCATCTTAACAAGTGTTTAGACACATAATGCACATGGCATACAAATTATTAAAAGCACTCAGAGAGCAATTGTGTAAAATGAAAAACAACACCAAGGTGAAGGAGATGCAATTTGAATGGGGGTGGGTTTACTCAGCTCTTTTCATAACTCTGTTGTATGTATGTTGGATGTTGTACACTTGTTGGATATGTCTTGACATATTCCAAAGCAATGAAAAAGGTGTGGATACAGTTGCATGCACTCCTCTCCCCAAATTACATGAGTTAGCACAGTTTGTTTTTAATTGGAAAAATGGCATTTGCCACACTTTAATGCCTTTGTCTATTGTTTCACACAGTATGCTGTTGAATGTAGCAACCTCAATATGATGCCTACTGTTACTTTCACCCTCAATGGGATTCCTTTCTCTCTTACTCCAGAGGCATATACCCTCATGGTAAGTCCTGCCTCATGGTCCCTCGCCTTGAGAGCACATGCCTTTCATGGAGGTGGACCACATTTGTCAATATCTATATTTAGCTTTGCACTGGGGAAGGAGACATGAAAACGGTTCTCCTTTGTGAACAGTTATTTCCTTATTTGTGAGCTCAGCTGTTGTTTCGTGGCTCCATTGCCAAAAATTCTGAACAGAGGTCAAAACATGAAACTCCATAACCAGATTCTTAGGATGTCATAGCTTAACTCATTAAATGAGAAGTCGTTATCTATTAACATGCTTTAATCATACTATGCAATCAAAATATACTTAAAGAATAGGAAAGGGGGGCAAGTTTCTGTGTTTAATAACTATGCAATGTCCATTCAGGCTGGTATATTGTGACAATTCTAGTCCAGAAAAGTAATATTTCCAAGTTCTGGTGAAAATATTGATATACTACTCTGGATTGTCTACAATTTACTCTCATGTAACTTAATTCTATGTAAATTTACATCTATATTTTTAATTCCCATTAGGAGAATAGCGATGGGATGCAGCTGTGCTCCAGCGGTTTCCAGGCCCTGAACATGCAAACCCCAGAAGGGCCACTTTGGATTCTGGGGGATGTTTTTATTGGCCAGTATTATTCTGTCTTTGACCGGGGAAATGACAGAGTGGGGTTGGCACCTCTTGTTCCTCCAACAGCTGGATGATACCATAATTGAGCCCCAGGTCTTCTCCCTCTGAGCAACTTTGATAAAATTCTTCCCCCACCTCTCCATTCGGTTTCAGATTCATTATCAGAATGCATAGAATGGCTTTCATTTACATATCTTGAGATCTTTCTTTATTCAAAAGGCAATGGCCAGATTGCCGGGTTAAGTTGGTTACAGGCAACAGATAACTGCCATGTGACACCCAACTTCACTGCCCCCTCTAGGCACAAATCAAATTACTCATGGCTTGGGCCTATACTATGTGAAAGACCACACCTCCCTCCATGAGCCTGTCCAACTTTTAAGACTGTATCTCCCTCCATCAGTCTGCCCAAGTTTTAAGATACTTGGTAGAAGGTTTTCCTTGGATCCCACCACCATAATAGTAATCTTTGGTGATGGTATATAAGAGGTCTTTTCATTGCTGATCTTAGGCTGTAGAACTCTCTTTCTTTCTCTCTTCTTTTTCTTTGAATAAAGTACATTGAACTGACAAAGGATTCAAGTTGAACAGGGTGCCTTTTGTAAGCCGCCCTGAGTCCCCCCTAGGGGGTTGAGAAGGGCGGGATAGAAGCACTCCTGGAACGTTTCCATCAGCGCTGCCTCCGGAAAATCCTGCAAATCTCCTGGGAAGACAAGCGGACAAACATCAGTGTGCTGGAAGAAGCAAAGACCACCAGCATTGAAGCGATGGTCCTCCAACATCAACTCCGCTGGACAGGCCACGTTGTCTGACCACCATCTCCCAAAGCAGTTGCTCTACTCCGAACTTAAGAACGGAAAACGGAATGTTGGTGGACAGGAAAAGAGATTTAAAGATGGGCTCAAAGCCAACCTTAAAAACTCTGGCATAGACACTGAGAACTGGGAAGCCCTGGCCCTTGAGCGCTCCAGCTGGAGGACAGCTGTGACCAGCAGTGCTGCAGAATTTGAGGAGGCACGAGTGGAGGGTGAAAGAGAGAAACGTGCCAGGAGGAAGGCGCGTCAAGCCAACCCCGACCGGGACCGCCTTCCACCTGGAAACCAATGCCCTCACTGCGGAAGAAGATGCAGAGCAAGAATAGGGCTCCACAGCCACATACGGACCCACAAGGAAATCCATAATGGAAGACCATCTTACTCGTCCAACGAGGGATCGCCTAAGTAAGTAAGAAGCACTCCAAATAAACTGATGGAAATAATCTTCCAACATTATGAACATCAAGTTACCTATCTTCTTTTCTATTCCTATTTTTTTGTAAATAAAACCATATACTAAAAATAAATAAAAATAATATTTGAAAAAGAACACTCAGAATAATAGCCATAGAGTTGGCCATAGAGTTGGAAGATACCTCATGGGCGATCCAGTCCAACTCCCTGCCAAGAAGTAGGAAAATCGCATTCAAAGCACCCCCAACAGATGGCCATCCATCCTCTGTTTAAAAGCCTCCAAAGAAAGAGCTTCCACCACACTCTGAGGCAGAGAGTTCCACTGCAGAACAGCGCTCACAGTTAGGATGCTCTTCCTAATGTTCAGATGGAATCTCCTTTCCTGTAGTTTGAAGCCATTGTTCTGCGTCCTAGTCTCCAGGGCAGCAGAAAACAAATTCACTCCCTCCTCCATATGACTTCCCCTCACATATCTATACATGGCCATAATGTCTCCTCTCAGCCTTCTCTTCTGCATACTAAACATACCTTTCATGCAAGGCTAGATTTTCCCCCATATTATTTTTACTTCCACTATCAGGCAAAGACTTTTTTTTGTAATTTCGATTAGTATGGAGAATTAATTAGTAGTTGCAGAAGAGTCTTTTAATGGCTTCTGTGTGCTGTTCTTTTATTCTCATAATTATGCTTTTAATAAAACCTACAAATTGTTCCAAACTAATGTTTTCAGCGGTTTGTGTTTTTTTAAAACCTTAAAATGCAATGTTTTAACTGCACTTTACTGGACTGACCTTGAGGGAGCTGGGGGTGGTAACGGCCGACAGGGAGCTCTGGCGTAGGCTGGTCCATGAGGTCACGAAGAGTCGGAGACGACTGAACGAATGAACAACAACAACTGCACTTTGTTTCAATTTTGAGACTGTGAGTCACTTTGGGTACCACTTTGGCAAAAAGACAGGATATTAAACAAACAAACAAAAAAACAAGCATCAAATGATAAATCAGTAGTTTCCAGTTGTATATAAATTATAACATACGCCCTCTTTCTTTCTTCTGTCAAACCCTCCAACAACAATCCCCAAATATAAATAGTTATTTAGTCAGTTAATCTGTTGAAGCCTTCTTTGTCATTTCTCCTCAAACTGACTTCTCAAAATAATGATTGCTGAATCTATTGCGTTCCTTGATGAATCAATCAATGCGATCGCTGAATCCTATACACTGTTTGCAGAATTAACATAAGCTGATTGTTGAATCAACCTACGTGAGAGAATAATTCAAATTTAACTCATTCAGTAAAAGGCATGATTAACTCAGCGTAATTCAATCAGTAGAAATCTCCCTAATAGCATCTTCAGTTTCAAAGTTAACTATGTGATTTCTGGAACAGAAGGATTGCAAAGGCAGGCCTTGTTCTGTACTGTACATTTCTCAGTAGGGTCTTACAACACAGTCTAAAGGAAGTGAGGTGGGTCATCGACTACTTCAGGGGAAAGTGCACAGTTAGTTCTGCTGAATAGAAGTTAGGGTGCAGCCACAGTGTAGAATTAATGCAGTTTGACACTACTTTAACTACCTTGGTTCAATGCTATGGAATCACAGGAGATGCAATTTTACAATATATTCATACTTCAGTGCCAAAGAATGCTGGTGTCTTGCCAAACCACAACATCAAGGATTCCATAGCATTGAGGCAGGCAGTTAAAACAGTATCAAAACTGTATCAGTGCTACAATGTAGATGCACCCTCAGTGGGTGCCCATCATGTCTGCACAGAGTGCAAGCAGGAACTGGATATTTATTTCTCGTGTCAGGGCAGCCAGTCAAATATATTACATTTCTAACAGAACAAAGCAAACAAACAGAGAGAATACAAAACATGTGAGTTTGGTAGTTGATTAAATGTCCTTTGACCAGTATCTGGCCACTTGCAGTGCCGCTGGTGTTGCTGCAAGAAGGTTCTCCATGTTGCATGTGGCAGGGCTCAGGGTGCATTGCAGCAGGTGGTCTGTAGTCTGCTCTTCTCTGCACTCACATGTCGTGGATTCTACTTTGTAGCCCCATTTCTGAAGGTTGGCTCTGCATCTCGTGGTGCCAGAGCACAGTCTGTTCAGCGCCTTCCAAGTCGCCCAGTCCTCTGTGTGCCCAGGGGGGAGTCTCTCATTTGGTATCAGCCATTGGTTGAGGTTCTGGGTTTGAGCCTGCCACTTTTGAACTCTTGCTTGCTTAGGTGTTCCAGCGAGTGTCTCTGTAGATCTTAGAAAACTATTTCTAGATTTAAGTCATTGACATGCTGGCTGATACCCAAACAGGGGATGAGCTGGAGATGTCTCTGCCTTGGTCCTTTCACTATTGGCTGCTACTTCCCAGCGGAAGTAGGAACTGGATAATATTACCATATATATTTTAAAGTTAGTAGAAGTGTTTTGTCAATTTGGTCTTACTTTTAAGAAGACAAGTATTCACATACTAGCCCAGCAAGTAAATGCCTTTATAAGGGAAGGAGAACTGCTGAAGATCTTTCTCATTAGAGCTTCAGAAATACGTAACTGTACTGTTAAAACAAAGAATGGCTACGGGATGAGGGCAACTAAGAGTGCATTTCTTTTCAAGAGGATTGTGAGCATAGTTTTGGTACTGAAAACAAATTCCTGGGCATAGAGTTATTTTGTTCCTCAAGAATAAATGAATGTCAATCTTCCAATATTTTGCACTTGGTTCCAGTAGATGGACTTTAGAATTCTAATACAAAACAAAACAAAAGTAGATACTTCAAGTCTAAGGTAAACCTGTTATGATTTAGGAAATATATCTTTACATTTTAATCAGAAATTAATAGGAAGGTGTACTCTTTATTTCAGCACATGACTTTCAGTCTATATAGCAAGTGTTGGGCCATTTGCTTGGGGTTTTGAGGCAGCATGGGTTCACTGCTACTGGCAATAAATGGGACTGATCAGGATCTCAAAAGTGGTCAGGATGGGCCCAGTAGATTGTCTGCAACCCCTAACACATATCCACATTATATCTTAGGTCATACGGTGATATTGGTAGACCACTAGTTCAGATTTTTAACTTTGCAAACTCATTAATCTGAATCCTTATTTTAAATTGTTTTCACTTTTATACATCCCTGGTAGGCCAACATTAATTCTTTCCAGATCATTTATATTCCAGGAAGAGGTCAAATGTGAAATTAGATCTGCAGGATGCCGAGTTTTTGGCCTAACCAACACAACCCCTCTTTTCAGTATAAAACATTGAACATTGTACATTCAATGTGTTGTTGAAGGTTTTCATGGCTGGAATCACTAGGTTGCTGTGAGTTTTCCGGGCTATATGGTCATGCTCCAGAAGCATTTTCTCCTGATGTTTCACCCACATCTATAGCAGGCATCCTTAGAAGTTGTAAGGCCACAACCTCTGAGGATGCCTGTCATAGATGTGGATGAAACGTCAGAAGAGAATGCTTCTGGAAAATGGCCATACAGCCCAGAAAATTCACAGCAACCCATTGTACATTCAGTTTGGGTCTAACAAGTGTTCTTAGTTGCTTGCCATATCTATTGGGAGTGCATCAAAACTATACAATGTGAAGGCTAGCTGTATGTCACTTTGCCAAGCATCTAGCTGGACACGAGCAATCAAGCCATTTAAACATTATAATATTGGAGACAAGTATTCACAGAAGAGTGAAGTAGACATTCTGTGGTGCCCCATACCTGAACACTCACATTTTAGGAAACTAAACTTCAGCATTCCAAGAGTACATCAAATGGTACACAGCTCATATGAGTTAGTTGCTGACATGAGTTGTTAAACCCACAAGAGGGGAATGCGCCAGCAGTTCTTTGTTAGCCTACAATAGATGTTCAAGTGCACTTCTC